TTTTAAATATCTAAATTTAATTATTAATTAAAAACAAAACTTCTTTATAAAAATAATGATTTCAATATCAACGTGACATTGATATTAAAATTATAAAGATCTTAACAAAACCTGTTTTGAATAATTTAAAGAAAAAAAAAAAAATTTTTTTTTTTTTTTTACACTTGATTTTTCAATTTCATGTTTAAAAACAATATTATTCATCAGTAGTAATCCCAATTAATTTTTTTAGTTTGTATTATTATTATTATTATTATCTTGTCAAAAAATTACTACAAAAATTTTAAAAAATAATATTTTTATCTTTTTTTTTTTAAACATGAAATTCATTATTTTCCCATATAATTTTTTTTGAAAATGATGAATAAAACATATCTCTTTTCAATTTTTAATTTATTTTTTATAATAATTATATTTTGATTAGATCATGTAAACCTTTTTCAAAATTTTCTTATAACCTCAGCGATAAGTTATTATGAATATTTATTTATTTTTTTCTATATCGACTTATAAATCTCAAGGGTTATACATGGTGAAAAAAAAAAAAGCTACTGTTTTTTTTATTAAGTAAGTAATAGTATTTCCTGATTTGATATTTGAAGTTGAAGGTCATTCTTGTAAAAGATAGTCATGTTATATATCTTTTACATTGGGTAGTTTATTCGTTAACAAAAAAAATTTATTTGGGAAATTAATAATATTACCTACATTCGAAAAACAAAATTTAGTTTATAATAAATTCATTGTTAATCTCAAATTAGTTTTTTTGAAAGATACTCTAATTGACACAACCAATAATTAATTTATTTGTTTTTTTATTATTATTATTATATGAAAATCTGTCGAATGGTTTCACTGTATTTTCCACATATTAATAAGTTTGTAAATAATTTGACATTTTTATCAATTTTTATTTTATCGACAAGCATTTGGTTAATACAAATCATTATGATGATCATATTCGCAACAGTCATGTTATGGTCAGTTAAAATTTAGGCTGTCTGCTTTCAATAAATTGAAATTTTTTTTTTTTTTTTTAAATTCATTGTGAGAAACTTAAAGCATTTGTTCGACAAATTTTAATTTTTTTAATTATTTCATTTGGTAAAAATTTATCGTAATGAATTACATTACATGTTCAAAAAGTTATAAAACATATAAATGATAATTTAAATAATTACAATATTTAATAATAATAATAATAATAAATACTGTTTTAGTACAAGTAATTTAATTCTAAATAAATAAAAATTTTGTTAAATGAACTAATTTTACCAAAAAATAAATAAATAAATGGGGTGAGGAGTGAATAATTCTATTTAAGTAAAAAAAAAAATTTTATTTTGTTTGTATATATCTAAAAATTTTTTTTTTTTGGAAAATGTGTTTTAAATTAAAAATGGTAATAATAATAATAATAACTAAACGCGGAAAATTTTATGATTAACCTGTAAACCTTGTTAAATATGACTTAGGCATAAACACATAATTTTTAATTCCTCCTCATTATTATGCTGTAATATTTAATTTACATAAACAATTTAGCATTGTCATCTTAAATTTAAAAAAAAAAAAAAAAAAAAAAACATGCTGTAGGAAAAATAGTTATTTGGAATTTAAATTGTATGAGGGGGGGGGGAAAACGATTTAATGAAAATTTCCAAAAAAAAAAAACAAAACAAAAGTCTATCAAATTATCATAAAATGTGTTCCTCGTGCGTTTAAGCCATACAATTTTTTTTTTTTTTTTATAATTTACCTTTATATTTTTATTATATACAATTTATATATATTTATAATAAAATATATATTATTATAAATGTTAAATTTTCACAATGACGTCAATGATTTTTTCTTAATATTTTTTTTATTTAAAGAGAAAAAAAAAGGGGGGGGGATTTATACATATATATATATATATTCTTTAAAAGCATTCTACTTTTTTAAAAATATTAATATTAATAATAATAATTTGTTATTATAATTATAACGTCATAGTTGTTATAAAAAAAAAAAAAAAAAATTTTTTTTTCTAAATTTGTTGTAATCAACGTCCTTAATACAATTCATCATTATCAATACGAATTTGGGAAAATAATAAAAAAATTTCTTTATCATTATGTTTCCTACAGATTGTTTTTGCTTTTATTTATTTATTTTATTTTATTTAAAATAATTTTTTCGTAAGGTTATAATATGGTTTAATCTACCCCACTTTTCTAAAACAATAAATTTTTTTTTTTAGAATTTTTTTATTAAGAGAAAAGAAAAAAGTTACATGAAAATAAATTAAATCTAA